CCTGGAGCTCAGGGGTGGGCAATAATTTTTGATGGGGGCCACTCCAAGAATTTAGTAAGTGGTCAAGGGCAACACTTTTCTATGATATTCAGAGATCTGGGACAGAGGATGGGTGCAGCAAGGACCTTGAGGTAGGGGTCAGGGGTGCAGGGTCTGTGAAAAGTCTGGGTGACAGAGGGAGTTGTAAATTGGGAGAGGGGATTGGGATGCAGGAGTGGGATGCTAACCTGGGGAAGGAATGCAGTGGAATGCAGAGTCTGGGACATGACCTGGGTCAGGGAGTTAGGCTGCAGGAGGAAGTGGGATGTCACATGCAGGCTCTGGCTGGGAGGCACAGCAAGACCCTCAAGCAGGCTCCCTGCCTGCTGCACTCCCACATGTGGCTCAAAGGAGTTGGCTTCTAGGGCCAGTATGTGCATCTCTGCATGTCATGTGCTAGGGACATAAAATCCCATTTAATTGGCTAACTGGTTCAACATATTGTTTAAATGGTTAACTAATTAAAAGGGGAGAAAGAGGGTGGGGGGGGGGCTACTCCAGCCTGGCTGAAGCAATCCCCCTGCACCCCCCTACTGCAGACAAGGGCTGCTCCAGAGCCTGTAACCATGTAACCGCTACGATTTTTAACCATTACGCAGTTCACTTTTTAGCATCCCTACTTATTACACAAAAAATAAAGACTCATATCAGGATATACTCTTGTTCTACAGAACGATCTACTGTCCTCAAAGTAATTCTGAACCAGGAAAACATGACAACTTCCTTAAAAAGGGAAAATTAAATTTAGGACAGCTAAATTTGAGATTGAACAAAAGCCCTCATTGGCATATCATGCCACTCACCACTGTTCTACCCACCACCATATCAGTGAGTCTAATGAGCAGACAGACTTTGCCAACAGCTCTTGTGTAAAGCAAAAACAATTTAGATAAAAGATGGTCTGAGCTTGATCCTAGTCCACTCCCTGTTAGATAACTGTTTACTTTGCATTATTCAGTAATGCTGTTAGTCTGCTGAAAGAGAGGACTTTTCAAGTGTGTGCTGATATGCACTGGCACAGCTGGGTAGAGTAGTCTGCACAGTGCCTAACCAGCATAATTTTCACCATTCCATGGGCATTAAAGACTTCATCTGCACAAAAAATTAAAGAGAAAGGGTATAAAAGATCTGTAGTGTTGACAGCTGCAAAGAGACTACTATACTGCAGAATCAAGTTATTGGTCACAGATAAAAGGAGCCAAAGCATATTCTGGTGGCTGACAGAAGGGAAGCCAGGCAAACCTAATTCAGACAGAGGAACAAAGATTAGAGAGTAACTTATTTTTAAAAAATAGCACTAAGGTGCCTCAAAGGTCTGGTAATAAGTAGAATTTGCTGCAGTACTATAAACCAGAGTTGACAATATTATTTGAGATCCTTATGGTTTGCAGGGCTCTGATAAACTTTTTAATATTTTTAAAAATACTGAGCATCAAACTAGGCCAGATTGCCCCCCTGCTGCTGAGATTCTTCTTTTTCTTTGTGTGACACATGGAACAAAGTCATGGATTCAACTTTCTGACAAATTATTAAAAAATTAACTGTCTTGATCAGAATTAAAGCTAATTGTAACCCTTGCTTTCATTTTTCTGTAGTCTGAAAGAAAACAAATATTCTACAGTGACAAGGGAAAGCAACTACATATGATGCATAGACAACCTGTTCCATGCTGATGATGAAGCAAATTATGAACTCAATTTTCAGGGGACAAAATCAAGTCTATATAGCTTACAATTAGGCTTACCAGATGGTTTAAAAAAAATACCGGACACACTTGATCTCAGATGGGGGGAGCTGAGAGGGGGTCGGGGGAGCAGGGCTGGCTTGGAGGAAACCGGCCGGCGGGAAGCAGGGCTGGCCGGGGGGAGAGGGGGGGTGGGGAGGAGCAGGGCTGGCCGGAAGGGGGTTGGGAGGAGCGGGGGGGGCCGGAAGGGGGTGGGGAGGAGCGGGGCTGGTTGGGGGGAGAGGGGGAGAACCAGATGGCAGGGAGCAAGGCTCGAGGAGGGGAGGAACCGGCTGGCGGGGAGGGAAGAGCAGGGGGGGAGCGGGGGAGAGAGGGACGGACCAGCTGGCTGTCAGGAAGCAGGGCTGGCCCGAGCGCACACAGATCCCGAGGTGCTGTCCGTCCCGGCAGGGCACATGGGCGAGTCTGGCCCTGGGGATTCCATCCCGCCCCGGCCCCGCACCTCTCCTCTCTACTACGTAGTTGCATACTGCCTGGCTGGTAGACACGCTCATGCAGCATGAGCGTGTCTATCAGCCAGGCAGTACGCAACTACGTGCTGATACTCATGATAATAATAAAAATTTAATTAGAAAATACTGGACATTTATGTGTTTCCCGGACAGAAAGTGCAAATATCAGACTGTCCGGTTCAAAACTGGACACCTGGCAACCCTACCTACAATGCAGTAGGAACAATACATGTATTCAATGAGGTTAAATCTGATCACAAGGAACATGCAAGTAAAATTGCTCAAAAAAAATGACTTACGGTTTGCTGGAAAAAGAGAACATTAAGAAAAAAACTGTTTCATGACACTTGCTACGTTGGACATTGGATCATTTATCCTAGACATACATCTCTATGCACTGGTGGCTGGAGTTGCCACATGATATTGTTTTGTTTTAACCGGTCAAATAAAAAGTTGGGGCTGATTATTCTTGGTAATTTAACAAAGCAAAATAATCCAGTCACAATACTTGCAGGCCAATGGGATTTCTGAAAATAAACTTTTTATTTAGTCCAATGGAACCTACAGCTTCTGGTTTTTCCTTCTTTCATTGGACTAAAGTTTCTACCAATGTCATCCTCCAATCTAAGTCTTCATTGGTCTTATTTTTTTCATTATGCTAATATACTACTTTTTAAAATGTTAAGATGATCTTTACAATCTCTGTGTAACTTTAGTGATAGAAATGTAGCCGTGTTAGTCTGGGGTAGTTGAAGCAAAATGCAGGACAATGTAGCACTTTAAAGACTAACAAGATGGTTTATTAGATGATGAGCTTTCGTGGGCCAGACCCACTTCCTCAGATCAAATAGTGGAAGAAAGTAGTCACAACCATATATACCAAAGGATACAATTAAAAAAATGAACAAATATGAAAAGGACAAATCACATTGCAGAACAAAAGGGGGATGCGGGTAACTCATCAAATACCAAACAGCTCTGCACCATGCTTTGAGCTAATAGCTTTATTTCCACACACCACCCAGGGTTCTAGGAGGAGGGTCCTTTTTTTGCTAACACAATGAGGCCAGCACTTTGTTTGTTTTGGTGGAGTCTTTGTTTGCCCAGGGAGCCCAGCATGTATAGGGGGAGGAGGGGCGGAGAGGCTGCTTTTGTCTGCTGTTCCTGCAATGTGATTTGTCCTTTTCATATTTGTTCATTTTTTTAATTGTATCCTTTGGTATATATGGTTGTGACTACTTTCTTCCACTATTTGATCTGAGGAAGTGGGTCTGGCCCACGAAAGCTCATCATCTAATAAACCATCTTGTTAGTCTTTAAAGTGCTACATTGTCCTGCATTTTGTGTAACTTTACAATGTGAAACTTTTAGAATTATTTGTAATGCAATAGAATCATTATGAAAAGTGGTCACCTTTATTACTTAAGTCTCTCTAGCACTGAAATTTCCTCTTCCTTTTAAAAACACCAAGATTGATATGTCTCCCTTTGCATATATAAATATACTCACACACACTGCACTCATTACGTAGGTATCTGAGCACCTAAAACTACATTCTGGGCTACCTGTTTGCTAAATTCTATTATTTAAAAAAAAAAAAAAAATCAGATTTTGCGAGAAGAGTGAAAAACAACTTCTGTAACTGAGGTCCTTTTCAATCTCTGGTACTACTCCCACTATGTCTACACACTTGTTGCTTAGTGCCGTTCTAGTGATTTCCTGAATTTGTGTCTGGATTTTTTTCATATTGCCCTAAAATGTATTGAATCAGTCTCGACATTTTTTTATTTTTAAATATTTTTGCCAAGGCAAAACAAAGACTCAGGTCTCTCTGGGGAAATCCTATAGTGAAATCCTCTTAGTTCTTACCTTATTACCTTATTCTGCACTCCTAATATATGAACATCTGTTCCAATAATGGAAAAAACCTTAATATAGATTTAAAGGATCCACTTCACTTCCATTCAAAAAATTTTAGGGGTCCTCAAATAAAAAAAAGGTTAAAACCACCAATACAGATATTTGCTGGATGAATATAGAAAACAATTGTGAATATGTAATACTATTATGACCATCATCTGTGCTCAGGAACCAATATACAGACAATGGGCCCCTTGTCAGAAGATAAGAATCTTGATTTAGACACAAAAGTGAAATGGTAGCATCGCCAATCTCTTCTATATTAGAACATTTTCCCTCTCGCTCTCCTCAATTCTGCTTATATCACAGTTTTGCAATGTGGTTCTTAAAGAAAAAAAATCTACCCACTCTACTAAGGAACCTATATTAGCTCCAGACATGCTTAAAACACGACAGGCTTCTTGGATGGTTTCAACTACAATATGGACAGGGCAGACACTTTTTTTAAACCATCAAATTTAACAATAGCCACACACATTCTTTTCTCCCATACATCAAAACATTTCTGAACCAAAATGTTCATTGCAAATATTCACCGATGAAGAGTTTTAGGCTCAAGTTGTAAGCACGTAAACACAGTAGATGTTATCCAGGAAACAAGGATGTTAACCTAATGATAACCCCACTCCAGTGCAACATATTACAACACACCTCTTCTCCTACAAAGTTTTTAAAATATAACTTGTCTACAGCTATGAAAATCTTTGTCTGAAACAGATAATTAGTTCTGTTGAATTAGCGGTTTGGTTTTCAAAATAGGGTATCTTTCTATTTGGGAAACAGAATGAAACACACAAAAAACAGACTATGACAAAACAACACAAAAATAGATGAGTCTTGGAAACTTACCCCTCCTGACAACTTAATCACCCTCACTTTGGTGCCGACATGGGGCCCATCTCCACTACCACTGTTTGCCCGTTGCATGACAGTCCTTTTCACACCAGGTTTCAGTTCCTGAGGCCTTCCTTGTATTGATGCCACCCTAGCAGTCTGTCCTGGGGCGAGCGATGTTGCAGTTGCAGCAGGTTTTGTTTGTAATACTTTTGGTGAAGGCTGAAGGGGACTTTGAGGTACTGTTCTAGTCTGTCTCAAATACTTCATTGGTCTCACTTGTTGTCCTTGAAACTGCATATTAGCCCCATCCTGCACAAAATCTGTGGGTTTTGGTGGAATATTTGGAACTACCACATCTTGCTTTTTAACCAGAAGTCTATTTTTCACATTTTGTCTGGCCTGTGCACTAGGATGGAGTATAAATAGGTTTCCATTAGTGGACAACTCTGAGGATTCCTCTTCCTGCTGTGTGAAAGACTGTTGCATGGGAGGTTGTTGCTGCTGTTGTGCAAGTCTTTCAAGCAACTCTCTTTTTCTAGCACCTGCCTGCTGTTGCCGTCTCAGCTCCTTTTGTTTCAGAATTTCTTCTCTTAGGCGTTTCTGTTCTTCTATCTTCAAACGGTATAATCTGGTTTCTTCATCTTCATCAGGAAACTATAAAAATAAAAGCAAAGGCATTTAGTGAAATGTGTCCAATTTAGTCAAAACTAATGTTAAGTTATTTTATAAGATGTCATAATGGTGTAACTCTGCAAAGGGCTTTTGAAATTACTCCAGACATTGTACTAAAACTGTTAGTGACATATCTTCCAGTAAAATTTGCTATTCATTAGTGACAGACATCTTGAATCTGTTTTCAGAATTAGATATACTCCTTCTTAGAGGGAAAATTCCCCTACCCTTCACCATAGTAGTAGCCTAAAAATACAGTCTTATAAATTAGAACTCTTGTAGAAGTTTCTGAAACCAATTAAACTATTAATATAATGCAAGATATCAAAATATGTTTCAAATGGAATGCAACAATACAGAGGCAACCCACTGTCACACAGGTTTTATCTTGCTCTTTTCTGACGAACTAACAAAAGGTAGGGTGGTAAATGACCTGAAAGGCCCTGATTAGAACTATTGATTTTTCTTACAGAATTTTCAGCCTGATCTCAAACTCATTTGTCACACAATAATTGGTTATAATGAACAGCACAAGTCAATCTCTCTGACCTTGAACTCATGCACTCTCTTCAGAATCAAAATGTTGCCAAATGCAGTGTTGGAATATTAATAGTATATAGAGAATGCCTTTAATATTCTACCCCTAAGCCTTTCTGAAAGTATTATACTCTATCAAATAACCTTTCTAGAGGTCCTGTATGTTTGGCAGAAACTGTCCTTATAAGAAATAAGAGAACAATTGAGGAAATGTAGGTGCCCATCTTCATGAAAAAGATCCAACTTGCTTTTGAGGTGGCTGCTTCAACATGCGTGTTTGCATATCTTTCAAAATACAGATTCCATTTTAAATGACATTAATATTATTTTTAAAGCTGTCTGCCTATAAAGCATGGTATATAATGAATTTACTATTTCAATGAACAGATCATTCTAATTCAAGGCTATAGTTACAAAATATACTGAACATAATAAAATTAACATTTCATCAAATAATAATACATTGCATTTTAGTAAAGTCTTCTATAAAAGGGTAGTAGAGCATTTCACAAACAACCTGCGTGTCCAGTAAAAATGGTTACTTACCATACTGGTTCTTTGAGGTATAATATCCATGCAGATTCCAATGTGGGTTTGCACATAAAATTGGATTATTGTAGCAAGCAGTATTCATTAGGTCCATGCCTGCATGCTAGATATTCTTGAACATCCCTTCCCATTACCACCATCATACACTCTGGTCTAGGGCATAAAAGCCAAAAGCCTCACATTTCCTTTGCCAATACAGAGGAATAAGACTCTCAGAGGAATAAGAATCATGGAATCCATGCAGCCAAAGGATAAGTAACTTTTCTTTTGTCTGAGTAATTGTCCACAGGTATTCCACACCTAATGACTAGTTATCTGTTTGTTTGGAGGCTGGTTAGGAATTCTATTCAACCAATGACTGCAGTCCAATCAAAACTGGGAGACAAATTAGTTTAAAACTGAATTCAAACTTCTGGCAGGAACTTGGGATGAGACCTCTAAGCCTGTCTTTTAAAAACTATCAGGGTACATGCACCTCCCCTACCTTTCAAGATGATGTAATGGCTACTGAAAAGACAGCCTTCATAGATAAGGAGTATAGGGAACTTCTTGCTAAAAGCTCAGAGGAAACCATCAACCTTATTAATACTACATTCAAATCTCAGGACGGGGGGAGGGGAGGCGGGGGCAAATGTGAATAAAAACAAAGAATGTAGCCAATGAGCATGAAAATACAGTGTGGTACTGGACATGAGAACTGATATTACTGCTAGATTGACTCAAATGGAACTACAGGCAGTCCCCGGGTTACATGGATCCGACTTACATCAGATCCCTATTTATAAATGGGGTGAGGCAACCCCACACTAGCTGCTTCCCCCCAGCAGACCAGGGAGACGCGAAGCTAGCACCCCGCTTTTCTCAGCAGACTCCTCAGCTTGAGAATAAAGGACTGAGGGTAGTGAGGTGTGGGAGAATAAAACTGAGCTCTGGAGAAATGTTTGGCTAGAGTTTCCCCTACAATATGTACCAGTTCCGACTTACATACAAATTCAACTTAAGAACAAACCTACAGTCCCTATCTTGTACGTAACCCGGGGACTGCCTGTAATAAAACTTAAGGAAGCATGATGTCTAACATGCTAGCCATCAGCCACATGTGGTTATTTGGCCAGTTGACTGTGTGGCTAATTGGCTTGACAAATGTGGCTAGTTCGCTTAAGTGGCTACTGCTTCACAACTGGTGGGACACCACGGCAATAGAAAGTCATAAGAACGGCCATACTAGCTCAGACCAAAGGTCCATCTAGCCCAGTATCCTGCCTGCCAACAGTGGCCAATACCAAATACTACAGGGCTTTGGGAGTACGGGTGAAGGAGTTTGGAGCACAGGTGGTATTCTCTTCGATCCTTCCTGTCAAAGGTAGGGGCCCGGGCAGAGAGAGGTGCATCATGGAGGTGAATGCCTGGCTGCGAAGATGGTGTCGCCAGGAGGGATTCGGCTTCCTTGATCACGGGGTGCTCTTCCAGGGAGGACTGCTTGGCGGAGATGGAGTTCACCTTTCCAGGAGCGGGAAGGCCTTGTTTGGACACAGACTGGCTAACCTTGTGAGGAGGGCTTTAAACTAGGTTTGTCGGGGACAGGTGAGCAAAGCCCACAGGTAAGTGCTGAATGTGCGGGACTGGGAGATGGGTTGGAAATGGGGGGGACTACGGCCTATAATGGCAAGGAGAAAGGAGGGTCAGGGCACAACAGGGAGGCAAGATCAAATCAGTATCTTAGATGCCTATATACAAATGCGAGAAGTATGGGTAATAAGCAGGAAGAACTGGAATTGCTAACCAATAAATACAACTATGATATCATTGGTATTACAGAAACCTGGTGGGATGGGACGCATGATTGGAATATTGGTATGGAAGGGTAGGGCTTGCTCAGGAAGGACAGACAGGGAAAAAAGGGAGGAGGGGTTGCCTTGTATATTAAAAATGTACACACTTGGACTGAAGTGGAGATGAACGTAGGAGATAGCTGTGTAGAGAGTCTCTGGGTTAAGCTAAAAGGGGTAAAAAACGAGGGTGATATCATGCTAGGAGTCTACTACAGGCCACCTAGCCAGGTGGAAGAGGTGGATGAGGCCTTTTTTAAACAATTAACAAAACTATCCAAAGCCCAAGATTTGGTGGTGATGGGGGACTTCAACTATCCAGACATATGTTGGGAAACTAACACAGCGAGGCACAGGCTATCCAATAAGTTTCTGGACTGCATTGGAGACAACTTTCTGTTTCAGAAGGTTGAAAAAGCTACCAGAGGAGAAGCTGTTCTGGATTTGGTTTTAACAAATAGGGAGGAACTAGTTGAGAACTTGAAAGTGGAAGACAGTATAGGGGACAGTGATCATGAAATAATAGAGTTCATGATCTTAAGGAAAGGTAGAAGGGAGACCAGCACAATTGAGGTTATGGATTTCAGGAAGGCAGATTTTGATAAGCTCAGAGAACTTGTAGGTAAGGTCCCATGGGAAGCAAGACTGAAGGGAAAAACAACTGAGGAGAGTTGGAAGTATTTCAAAGGGACGTTGTTAAGGGCCCAAAAGCAAACAATTCCGCTGTGTAGGAAAGATAGAAAATATGGCAAAAGACCAGCTTGGCTTAACAAGGAGATCTTGCATGATCTCAAAATAAAAAAGGAGTCATATAAAAAATGGAAACTAGGACAACTAACAAAGGATGAATATAGGCAAGCAACACGGGAATGCAGGGGCAAGATTAGAAAGGCAAAGGCACAAAATGAGATCAAACTAGCTACAGGCATAAAGGGAAACAAGAAGACCTTTTATAAATACATTAAAAGCAAGAGGAAGACCAAGGACAGGGTAGGCCCACTGCTTAGTGAGGAGGGAGAAGCAGTAACAGGAAACTTGGAAATGGCGGAGATGCTCAATGACTTCTTTGTTTCGGTCTTCACCGAGAAGTCTGGAGGTGTGCCTAACGTAGTGAATACAAGCAGAGAGAGGGTAGGTTTAGAAGATAGGATTCACAAAGAACAAGTTAAAAGTCACTTAGGAAAGTTAGATGTCAGCAAGTCACCAGGTCCTGATGAAATGCATCCCAGGATACTCAAGGAGCTGATAGAGGAGGTATCTGAGCCTTTAGCTATGATCTTTGAAAAATCATGGCAGACAGGGGAGATTCCAGAAGACTGGAAAAGGGCAAATATTGTGCCCATCTATAAAAAGGGGAATAAGAACAACCCAGGAAACTACAGACCGGTCAGTTTAACGTCTGTCCCAGGGAAGATAATGGAGCAGGTAATTAAGGAAATCATATGCAAACACTTGGAAGGTAATAAAGTGATAGGGAATAGCCAGCATGGGTTTGTGAAGAACAAGTCATGCCAAACTAATCTGATAGCTTTCTTTGATAGGATAACGAGCCTTGTGGATAAGGGAGAAGCGGTGGATGTCATATACCTAGACTTTAGTAAGGCATTTGATACGGTCTCGCATGATATTCTTATTGATAAACTAGGCAAATATAACTTAGATAGGGCCACGATAAGGTGGGTGCATAATTGGCTGGATAACCGTAGTCAGAGAGTTGTTGTTAACGGTTCTAAATCCTGCTGGAAAGGGATAACAAGTGGAGTTCCTCAAGGGTCTGTTTTGGGACCCATACTGTTCAATATCTTCATCAATGATGTAGATATTGGGATAGAGAGTACGCTTATTAAGTTTGCAGATGATACCAAAATAGGTGGGGTTGCAACTTCTTTGGAGGATAGGGAAACAATTCAAAATGACCTTAGCAAGTTAGAGAAATGGTCAGAGGTAAACAGGATGAGGTTTAATAAAGAGAAATGCAAAGTGCTCCACTTAGGAAGGAACAATCAGTTCCATACATACAAGATGGGAAGCGACTGTCTAGGAAGGAGCATGGCGGAAAGGGATCAA